AGTATATGGGGCTGCTGCCCTACTGACTGAGCCACAGGCACCGCCCAATATTAACAATTTTTATAGAGGAAGGGGCCTGCGAAAGTCACAATGTCTGTCCTCCTGGGACCATGTCTGCTTTGTCCACTGTTGTATCTTCCAGCACTTCCCGGAATGCTTGGCACATAGAAGTTGCTCCACAAATAACTGCCGAATAAGTGAATCGCCACTATTACTTCTGCTTTTAAAGAATATAGCCTCACGCTCTCTATAGTCAACCAGGGGAGGCAGCAGCCTCCTCCCAGTCAGCCAGGAAACAGTCCTCTTGCTGCGCTCGGTATGCAAAGATCAGCCCTTAACGCCCAGGCCGCCTTCTTAATACCTTCCTCAAGCCCCCCCCATATGGCCACTTCTCACTTGTACTCACATAGAAACACTGTACCGGCTAATTTTCTCAATCAAGCAGAAATACATACATTTTCCCCAAGGAACTCCATCTTTTTTTTTTTTTTTTTGCTTTGAATAAAAAACATGTGACCTGAAAACATTTTTATCTATCTTCATGTATCCTTTTTTTTTCTTTTTTAAGAAAAAAGTGTTTCATCCCTTCTCTAAGAGCAATGCTTTTCTGTCCCCAATGGGATATTTGGCAATGTCTGGGGGCATTTTTTACTGTCACAACTTGAGGGGGTGCTCTGGCAGCCAGGGGGCGGAGGTCAGGTCTGCCAACAACCCACAGCGCCCAGGTTGGTTCCCAATAGCTAAGAAGATCCAGCCCCAAAGGTTGATAGTGCTGAGGCTGGGAAGCCCTTCTCTGGGAGAGTCTAAACCGTTGCTCTTGGATGAATGACTCGGATCGCATCAGGACTGGGTCTTATTGATCTGTGTCTTGGCACCGCCTTGCACATGTCTGTGGAAAGCAGCCTGTTGGGATTTGTGCGACTGTATCTGTGCCCTTGGCTGCTTAGGTTACTCTGACAAAATACCATAAACAACAGAAGTGTCTTTCTCACAGTTTGGAGGCTGAGACGCCCAAGGTCAAGGTGCCAACAAATTTGGGTTCTGGTGAGGTCCTGCCTCCCGGCTCATAGGTGTCATCTTCACACTGTGTCCTCACATGGAACAAGATAACTCTCCGGGGTCTCTTTTATAAGGGAAGTAATTCTTGTAAAAAGGGGGGCTCCACCCTCATGACCTAGTCACCTCCTGAACTCCCCACCTGCTCATACTATCGTCTTGGGGGTTAGGATTTCAAAACAAGAATTTTGAGAGGACGTGAACATTCAGACCGTTGTGGTCTGTCCTGAGACTACTATTAAAGGTGTTACCTATGACATCATTCCTCACTCCTTCAAAGGTCCTGCAAGAATTCCTCTCAGACTTCAGTGTCGGAAAAGGCTGAGCTGCCCTGAGTTGGTTTTAACCTTTGTGAGTCTCTAAACAGGCAGATTTCCCTCTTTGCTCTGACTGGTAGGAAGCTCAGAGTCCCATCTGCAGCCCACCTTTGAAAATGGTGGAGGCCCATCCATCCAGAGAAAACTTCTGTGTACTACCCTCTTGGTTCATTGTACTGTTTGTCCCAGTGTTGTTTTCTCTCTGATCTATTTTTATACTATTGTGTTTATGTAGTTTTGTAAGCTGCCTCCAGTCCTTTTTGGAACCAAGCAGGCCATAAAAAGAACACAAATTTCAGCAGAGCCCTGTGGCCTTGATGCGTACTTTCTAACATGCCAAGTGTCATTTTTAAGGTTGGACTCCTGCCGGGGAAGGCAGCTCCCCTTGGCTCCGCAGCCCTCCTGGGAGCCCCCCTCTTAGAGATCAACAGCTCAGTAGGTTAGAGCAACAGGTTCTAGAGGCAAAACTGCCAGCATCCATCTGCCTGCAAACGCCCTTCCCTCCCCCAAAATGTTCTTTCCAGTCTCCCATCTGTCTGTTGGCAGGAAGCCACGGGGCCCCAGGAGATTGCGAAGGGGAAGTAGAGAGATAAGCGCTCCCATTTGTATTCCTTATTTTCCTTTCTTGCATCTTAAATCAGGGCCTCCAGGGGCCCAAGAAAAATTATGAGCGTGTTAACACTATAGGTAAGGGGTGTGCCAGGAAGGGCACCTGCCCAGGTGTGTAGGGAGTGGGGCACTTTGGGAGGCTGTCATCGTGCCAGGTCTAGGTGAGTCAGAGAGAGCTGGGGAGTGCCACACACACCTGAAAAGGACAACCCTTCCATCTGGCCCTGAATTCTAGCATTTTCCAGCTACCTCTACAAATACAATACTCCCAGCTCTGCAAGCAGGTTCACCCCTCCACCTGTCCCTCACCTGCCAGGCCACAAAGCCAAAGCCAGCCCAGTGAATTTCATAACCTCTGCACCACTCCACTCAGGGGACTTGGGACAATGGCTTGTCTCTAAAATGAGGGGGAGTAGCTGGGTGTTGTGATGGGCGCCTGCAGTCCCAGCGACTTGGGGCTGAGGCAAGAGAATTGCTTAAGCCCAACAGTTGGAGGTTGCTGTGAGTTGTGATGCCACTCTACTGAGAGTGACATAATGAGACTGTCCCAAATAAATAAAAATAAATAAAATGAGGGGGAGAAGGGGGCCAGATCCTAATATTTGAGGACCCTAAGAACCCCCTGCTGCCGTCCTATGCTCTCACAACCTCTGTTCCTTTTGTCTACTTTCTTCTGGGAATGTGATACAGTGTTACTGGAGAGGAGGGGGTGGTGCGTGTGACTCTGGGGTTGGAGGTGAATGGCATGTGGGCTTCAGAGGTGAGGGGCCCAACCCAGAGCCCTGCTCCTGCCCAGCAAAGACAGAGGCCAGCCAGAGTGACCCTGAGCAGGGCAGGGCGGGCCAGCATTTTGGACTTCATGTGTCGGCAGGTGTTGGTGACGGGACCTTGAGCTGCTGAGGCCCCACCTGACAGCAAGCAGCACACCTGTCCCTTGTGGACACAGCCCCATGTGAGGTGGGCATATCCCGCCCAGCCAGGCAGCCACTGACCCTTTGTGCTGTTGGCTTAGCTAGGCAACTGGCCCGACCTTGTCATTCTGGGTCCCACAGTGTAAATAACCAGGTCAGAGAGCCTAGTGGTTGTGGAGAAGGGCTTTGGAGCACATGCCTGGGTCCCTGTGCCAGCTCCTCCTTTTAATATCCCTGGGGTGGGGGATGGCTGGGCTTCTAGCTGCTTCCTCTGTCAAATAGGGTGCTAGGAATAGTGTGACAGAGTTGCTGTAAGAATTAAATGAAAGCCCAGTACCCGGGAAGTGGCAGTCATAAGCGGTGGGGGATGCAGATGGAGATGCCTTGAGGGCAGCTGGGTCTGGCCTGAGCAGGCAGTGGGGCTGGTGCCAACTCATTATTGGGCCAGAGGACTCTGGGTCCCATCATATTCTGGGAAATGTTGGCTGAGATCTGAATTATTAATAAAATTACTAAATTATTACCCAGTAGTTGTTCCTGGCCCCTGCTTTGAGTTTTTGGAGGCAAAAGAGCCCGACAGACACTTTTAAGAAGTGCCCTGCAGGGGCCCTGGGTTTCTCGGTGAACCTGAGACCAAGGGGGAGAGAAGATGGAAGGGCCCTCCCCAAACCCGCTCAATTTGTTCCAAAGGAAGGCTCAAGGTAGGACCTTGCTGCAAGGAAAGCTTCTTGGTAAAAGTTAAAAACTGAACTGGCACACAACTTTAAAGATGGCGAAAGTGACGTCACTCAGAATGGGAAAGTAAGTGGCCAAGGCCACCAGGCAGATCGGGGAAGCTCTGTGGCTGGGTGGGCTCTGTCTGCTCGCCCGTGCTCTACCTCCTGGGGCCCTGGAAATCCCTACTGGCAAGTACGACCCTTGAAGCTGAGGGTCAAGCCGGCCCCTTTTCTATCAATAGTGGAGAAACAGACCTCGGGGCTTGGGGTGCTGAAGTTCTGTGGACCCTCGAGTCCTTCGCTGGGCAGTGTAGGACAGCAGTGCTTCCCTCTGAGGAGACTGTCACCCCACTCATCTGCCCGGGCCTCACCTAGACACTGCCTTTCTTTCCCCAGCCTCTAGAGTAGACTGTAGCCCCCAGGGACCTGTCTCCCTGCTCCCATCTCTACCCCCTCTTCCCACTCCCTCCCTTGGAGTCATCACAAGGCCCTGGGTGGGTGTATTTTAATTATTCCTCTAACTGCTTCCCAGAGACATAATGAGTGGGGAGCCTGAATTTCCTGCAGATGCTCAGGGGAGAGGGGAAGGGTTTTCACCAGGAACTCCAGGGCACTGGGATCCTGAGATTTCCCCAGCTTTCTGGAAAGCAAGTGAGAGCTTCAGCCAGCAGTGAGCCAACCCTGCCTGGGCCAGTGTTCCCTTCCCAGAGGCGCCCAGAGGGGGATATGGAGGCAGAGGGGTCCCTGGGTCGTCACTCCCTGGTCTTATTTCCCGAGGCACTCAGGAGTGCTGGGGGTTTGAATGATGTCCCCACCCTAACACTAACTGGTCTGTGGAGAAGACAGCCTTGTGGCCCCTCTAAGCACATTTCTTTATCTGGAAGATAGGGATACCCAGACTCTGGCTGAGCCTCAAGGTTGTACCAATGACTTGCCCCATGTAAGTTGATTCTGCAGGCCTGAACAGGGCAATCCTTTCCCCTCCCCGAGAACCAAGTGCAGAGCCTGCCATGCCACCATCCTGGTGGTGACAGCTCCCACACACGTCCATATCTAGGGGCTTAGGAGAACACAGCCTCCTGCATCCTAATCACAACTGGGTACCCCCGGCCCCGCCCTGTAAGGGTGGGAAGAGTCCCATTTTACAATGGAGGATGAGGCACAGGGCATGTAAGTGACGAAGTGCCAAGGCCTCCAAGTGTGGGTAGTTGGGACATGTGAGGCAGAGGAGCACACGAGGGCTTGTCCTTCCCAGAGGCTGCAGAACAGTTCCGGAGGGCAGGGCCCCAAGAGTCACAGAGAGGCTGCCTCAGGCCCCTGTGGTCCGGCAGGGCCAGCCTCAGGACCCCATCCTGAAATAACCCTTCCCAAAAGCAGACAGAGACGCCAGGCATGCTATAGGGCTTTTTTAATGTTTCCTCACTTTTTAAACAATATCATGAAAAAAACAGAGTTTAGAATCTGTAACTGACCTGGATGGGTTTCAAGGGCAGCTGGTGGGGGTCGTGCCCTCCCCCACCGTGGGAACTGAGCCACTACAAACGGAAGCACCAAGGGGGCACTGAGTTAGGGACTAAGTTAGTGTCTCGGAATCAGGGACTGGCAGAACATCGGAGGCCAGAGCCCTGTGGGGGACCCTCCCCAGCTGGGCCCTAATCAGTTCCATCTCTCCCTCTCCTGGATACCGTGGATACAGGGAGGTGGGTCAGCCTGTTTGCAGGACAGAAAAACAGTCAGCAGCAGTCCCTCCATCCCCAAGCTTCTTTTGGCTCAATCCCCTCAGGTAGAATTACAGGATGCAGGGTGAAACTTGAATTTCAGGAAAATGACAAATAATTTTTTTGATATAAATCTGTTCCAAATATTGCATGGGGCATATTCATACTAAAAAATGTTCTTTTATTTAAATTTCAATGCAGCATTCTGGGTGGTTTTGTTTTTGCTAAATTTGGCAACCCTACCCTCAGGGACCTAGCCTTGGAAGTGGGGGAGGGGCCCAAGAAAGAGGGGGAAGTAGCCGGGACTCAGGGTGTACAGGGAAGGAGAGGGGAGGGCAGGGCCAGCCAGGAGCAGCTCCCCCCACCCCCATAGGAGTAAAATAGTCTTTTCAAAGAAATCATTCTCCAGGACTTTCTACACTGGCCTTCTGCTGTTAATAGCCATGGGGAGGGAGGAAACCAAACAGACACCCTCCGTATAATTCTAAATAAAGAATAAAGTTGGGAGGTGCTAATGTTGTTGAGCTGGTTTCTTTGCCAAAGGATGTCCCCAGATTTAACTGTTCTGATAGTCACTGTGAATTTCCAGGAGACTTTGTATCAAGGTTTTCTAAAAGGGTTTTGAGTCCCCTTCTGGGGACAGAACTATGAACACCATCCTGACATTACTCTAGAAGGATTTAAACATAATAAAGAACAAACCAACCCCTGGGGACTGAGCAGTGAGCGCCCCAGTCCCGTTCCTAGTGTCATCCTGGGAGGAGCCCTTCTTGAAAATCCAAGAAGCCTGGGGGCTTCCTTTTTTTTGGTCCTGTTCTCTTCCCCTGGAAGGGGCTGCGTTTAGTGTACACATTTGGGGTGTCCCTCACCCCCACCCCCAGTCCAGGTCAGCTCCAAGGAGCCCCGCGCTTTCTGGTGCAGGGGCTGGGCAGTGTGACCACCCCCTTCCTTCTGCTGCACACACTCCATCAGCCATCACCGCTGGTCACAGCAGAAACACCAGTAGGGAAGAGGACAGTCAGGTGTTCCCAGCCCTGGAGCCAAGGCTGCCTCTGGGTTGCACATAGCGGGAACTCAGGTTGACATGTGGCATCCATCTGAGGCTGGGGTGCAGAAAAGGGAGGCCCAGGGAGGAAAGCTGACTCCTGCCTCAAGGACACAGCCTCAGGGACGGTAGGATGTGCATGGTGAATGAAGTTCCCTGGGTCCGCTGAGGGCCCTCAGATCTGGCCGTTATCCTTCCTCCCTTATCCACAAGGTCCAGGGTCTGTGGCCTGATGCACAAGGATCTTGGCTACCCCTGTACTACAAGGTCAAAGGTCAGAGTGAGTGGGGGCCGGGAGGAGATGCAGCCAATCCTTGGAGCGACCCAGGCCTCACACTCGGATCTCCTCCTCTTCCTCCTCCTCATCCATGAAGGAGAATTCCTTGTCTGGCTGCCTGGTGAGAGCGGCTCGAGCCCTGTCTTGGCCGCGGAAGGCAGGGCTGCGTTCCTCCAGGATGCCGGAGGTGTAGCTGGACAGGGAGCTGCTGTCCCGAGTGGTGTGGCTGCCCACACTGCGGGCTGAACCAGGGCTCGGGGCGGCTGCTGCCCACCCCTCATCCTCCAGAGCACGGTAGGGCAAGTCCTGGCCGGCCTTGCCTTCCTGCCTCGCCATGGGAGGGGCTGCCGAGGCAGGAAGGGGAGCCTGGGTGACAGAGCCAGGGTCCATGTCGCCGTGGTAGCAGCCATCCTCCTCTGCGGGGTCCCACTCCTCCTTGTCCATGATGCTGAGCACATCACCCAGCATGGAGGGCCCCAGGTCGATGTGGAAGGACATGATGGACTCTGCATGCTTCAGCCCATAGCTGGCCTTGGGCACAATGGGCAGATCTGTCAGGTCCCCAAAGGCTTGCTCATCAAGAAGTGGGTCGGGGGAGTGGGGGCCTGTGGCCCCATTCCGCCGGGGCATGGCCTCCTGGACACCTGCCTCCTCATTGCCGCCCTCCTCGGCAGCAGCCTTCTTCACGGGGCTGGATGACAGGCTTTTGGGTAGCTTGCTGGAGCCCTTCTCCACAGCCTCCTTTTCATTGAGCTGGGGCAGGGACATGGCATTTTTGACGAAGATGGCCGAGTCCCGCAGGGACCCCAGCATGTCCCTCTGCTCCCGATCCCCTCTCGTCACCGACTGTGACCGCTTGCTGCCCCGGAACTTCCGGGACAGGAGGCTGCGTTTGGAAGACGAGGAGGAGGCCTGTTCATCCAAGGATGCCCCGTCCAGCTCGCCAGCCTTGCTATTGAGGAAGGAGGTGTCCCCAAAGGCGTCTCCAGCCCGGCCTACATGCATTGTGTGGCGGAAGTCACCCAGTGGGGCGCTGATCATCTCGGCTGTGAGGTCCACGCGGGAACGGCGCTTGGAGTGCACTGAGCTGGACACCAGCTGCTTGAGGATCGGCATTTTGCCAGAGGGGTGAGGAGGAGGGTCCCCCCAGGTAGCAGATGAGTCTGGGTTCAGATCTAAAGTCCAAGTCCAGTGGGTGGAGGGGAAGTCACGAGGAGATCATAGGGCTGCAGGCAGAGGACAGGAAGCAAAGGGTTAACACAGGCTGGATGCGCAGCAAAAAAACCCATCTGCCAAGGAGTTGTCTTTTAAATCCCAGCTCTCCCACTGAAGTGAAATAATGTGACATGAGCCAGCAATCAGTTTTATAACCCTGCCTATTTCACCTATACGCTCTCAGAGCAGAGGAGTGATTTTGCAAATCTGGTTAGCATTCCTGTTGGCATAGACAGACTTTTCCTGAAACTTGAAAGAGGTTTAATCTTTCTTCTAAGGGACAATGCCTCCCCTACCCCTGCAAACCAGGATGCTGCTACAGCAGACAGCGCCACACCTATAGACAGGTGTACACGGTTATCCCGAAGGCAGTCCAGGGGAGAAATTGGGTCTGACTTGGCTCCTATGAACAGCCAGCCTGGAGACATGCTGTAAGTTCTTCCAGCTGTCTAACCTCAACCCCTACGGAGTTAAAGGACATCTCAGTCTGAGTCACAGTCCTCAGACAGTGAAAGGAATGGACAAGACCAGCCCAGTGAGGACAGACACTGCCCAGCTCCTCTGTGTACATGGGTGGCACAGTTCTCCTTCTGAATCAGAATTGGGGTGGGGCTGCTGGGACCCACAGAACCAGCTCCCCGGCCTTTCAGTCCTTGCTGGATGTCCTGTCAATGTGGATCCTGCCTGTGACATCTCCACTGCAGTGCCCCAAGCTCTCTGCCGAAGATCTACCTTCCCTACTCTCAGGGAGATCAAGACTGATCAAGACTGGGGTGGCCCAGCAGCTGTAATCATTAGGGCAGAGGGAGGCACAGGCTGGACTCTAGGTGACTTAGGCTCCTGAGTGATAAACCAGAAATCCAAAGACCAGCAGCAGTGGAGCCCAGAGGGGCTTGGAGGCACCATCTATGCCTCTCTTGACAAGGGCCAAGCTTAAGTTCAGTGTTGGGGCCAAAACAGCCCCTTTCTCCCCTAAGGGACTTGTCCCAAATGTAGCTGGGCAGAGTGGAGGAAGACAAGTCAGGGCAGACTAGGCCACCAGGTGCCTGCCTCCTAACCTGGTCCTGCCAGCAGAACCCTCCCCAGGGGCACCCTCAGTTCAGACTTTCCCACTGCCCAGACAGTGAGTGGCCACTTGAGGCCACAGCATCCCACCTGGCCCCTAACATCAGCCTAGCAGTTCTCCCTGTCTCCCCAGCTGTCTCTCTCCAGTCCACCCTTCATCTCTTAGCTAGAACAAGATCCATCCACAGAGGACGCCCACCGAGGGAAGGCCCTTGACCAGTGACCAGGCCCTGCCTTTCTCTCCAACTTGTCTCTTGCCCCTCCTGTCCTTCTGTGCTCAGCTCTAGCTCCTGAGCTTCTGCGAGGGACACGCCCAACATCCTTTAGGGCTCAGTTCTCAAGAAACCTTCCTCAGCCGGGGGAGTCCTCCTGGCCACCTGCCCTCTCATGGCACTCTGGATGTCCCCGCTCCTTGCTGGTTGGACTGTAATTTTCCCACTGGAGTGTGAGCTTCCAGAGCATTCTGACAGGTCTGCTCACCAATGAATCTGGTCCAGCAGGGCATCCCTCACCACCTCCGCTTCTCTCCTCATCTTGGCCAACAGCTCAGCTCCGGGGCTCCCTGCCTGACTACTCTGAGTCCTGTCATCCATCCCTCACGTTCTCATTCTCCTGCTAAGCAGCTGCTACCTAGTCTGATGGCTCCCCCCACCAGCAAGTGACCCCCTCCTGATGCCCAGGCAGGCATATTGCTTATCATTCAGCAAACAAACTTCCCTGGGGCAGGCAGGGGAGCCAGGCGCCAGGGTGGACCTCCCACACAGAATAGGGCAAAGACTCTCCTGGCAGGCTCCAAGCTAAACCTCTATAATCAGTCATCAGTCAGCCCTCCCTCCTCCCCACCAAGCCCTTAGGAAAGTCACCTTCCCCTAACCCTAACCAGAATTGTCCCTGGGGTACCCCTCCTGTCCTACCCCATTCTCTACACAATTAGACACTGGATAGCCAGACCAGGAGTGGACACTTTTTGCCAAAGGCCCGAGTGAATGAATATTCTTAGCTTAGTGGCTGTAGGAGCTTTGTCACAGCTACTTGGTCTTCTTTGCATCAAAGTAGCCATAGGCAACTTGTCAAAAAATAGACGTGGCTGTGCTCCAATAAAGCTTTATTTATAGAGAGCTTCTTGGTTGGTGAGCACACCAAGGTGCTGGGAGGGTGGGGCAGGCTGCCTCCACCCTATACCTTGCCCCCTTGACTGTTCCTGAGCTGTATCCTTTATAATAAACAGTAAAAGTAAACAGAACAAAATAAGCCACCCCCCCACCTTTATTACAAAAACAAATGATAGGCTGGATTTGCCCCATGGGCTACAGTTTGTGGATCCCTGAATATGGTATGTGACCTTCTGGGCCAGCCCTGGACCTCCAGGTCAAACTTTGGGGAAAATTCTCTAGGGCTAAGAGAAAAGTAGAGTCTGCCTCCTCGGTCACATTGGGAACCAAAGGAAAATAAGCACGATTTCAAATGAACTCTCAGTCTCAGGCACCTGCTGCTGCCAGTGCAGGCAGTGAGGGGACCGGGAGGGCCTTGTCTTCCACCTGCCTGCAACCCAGCCCCTGGCTCTACGCACAGAATCCTAAAATCGCAGAGGTAGTGAGGACATCAGTGAGAGGATGGTCCCATCCTTCATTGTATGGATGAGAAATAGTTCCCTTGGCGCAAAGTGGCTTGCCCTGATTTAGACCCTGAAGGACAGAGCTGGGTGAGAGGCCCGATCTCCTGGCCGGGTGCTCTTTCCACCCCACTCCAGGCCCTTCTCTGACTCTCTGGTGGTCACACCGCTAACTAGCGTCCCCCACGGGTGCTCCTACCCATGACTGGCTGGGCAATCTAGGAAAGGGGGATCTGGTGCAGTCCTAGAGCAGGCGCTGACACTGTTGGTACTTTGGGCTGCATGGTTTTTTTCTGGGGAAGGGGGGGTTGTCCTGTGCACCACAGGGGGTTCAGCAGCATCCTTAGCCTCTGCCTACCAGGTGACAGCAGCATCTGCCCCACCGCCATGACAACCAGAATTGTCTCAAGAAACTTTCCAACGTTCCCTGGGAGGCAAAACTGCCCCATGCTGAGAACCACCGACCCACAGTGAGAACACATAGGTGAGAACAGAGCAGGTGCGACTTGCCAGGTGAGACAACAGCAAAAAGGGAGGTGGGGAGGAGGCAAGAGGCATTGGAATTGGGAGGGAACACATGACAGGGACCTCCAGAGTTGCGTGAGGGTTTCAGCGTAACGGCAGGAATGCCCAGGCCGAGGAGCACGTCACCCTCTGTGGTTTCCTGATCTTAAGTGCTTATTAGAAAGAAGAGAAAAGAAACCACAGGCCCTGCTGTCTGTGCTGCACGCCACTGTGGCCGCCAGAAGGACCAGGTATCCTGGCATGGGTCCTCCCTGCCCCCCAGCACATCCTCCCTCCCCTCCAAGCACATCCTTGTGGGTCAGAGGAGACAGTGAGGAACTTAAAATCCACACGAGGTGCTGCCACATTCACGCACACCCACCCTAGGCCAGAAGCCCCAGGGTCTTCCCACAGCCCCACACCACAGAAGGGCAGGCCCCAGTCTGCCCAGTGCTGTCTGCTTCCTGCGGTCACACTCCTGAGGGGGGCGGCAGGGGGGTTGGCTTGTGAAAAGCCACCTTCAACATCCAGCAGGTAAGGGTCTGAGACAGCTGGGGCCTCAATATCATTGCCTGTTTGGGTCACCACCCCAGCCAGGAAGTAGTGGGGTCCCAGCACTCAGAATACACAGGCCAAGCAGCAGGCTGGAGGGCCAGGGAGGGCTCACCCAATGGGCTGTGTTAAGTCCTTGGTTTCACTGGCCTGCGTGACATCGAGTCACCTGGAGCTTCCAACAGAGAACATGGAATTTCAAGGTAAGCAAGCGAGGACAGCCCTTGCTCCAGCCTGAGGCTGGGACCACTCCTGGGGGTGGGGGGTAGCAGTTTGGGAGGCTACAGTGCCCAACCCAGAAGGGGACGGTGCCACAGGGAGCTACGGCTTTTGGAGGCATGTTGCTGGGCACCATGACTCAGCTGTGGGGAAGTGGCCGAAACAAGCTGCCCAACAACGGGCAGCCACTCCCCCACAGCCTGCCCTGGGAGGGACACCCGCTCCCCACCCCGGAAGCCACATCCCACTTTCCCAGCAGGGCAGAAAAACAGCTCACAGCTCTCTCTGGAGCCTTGGGAGGACCAGATTCCTCTACCCTCAGCCCGCTGACCACAGACCCTGCCCTGAAGGCAGAAGCGGTGAGCCCTCCCCAGAAGGCCAGTCCCTGGCTGGGTCTACTCCTACCAGGCCCATAGCTCAGCCCCAGTCTTGGGACTAAATTGGAAAAGCTTGCCTGGATCCCTCGCCCCCCTTCCTGGCAGGATGCACAAAGAGCACAGCCCTCGCAGGTCAGCCAGCCTAGCAGCCCTGAGCCTGAGACAAAAGGGCAGGCTGGACCAACACACCCTGTTCTAAGTGTCCAGGCAGAGGCCAGGCCTGAGCTCCCCTAGTGCAGCCAGGCTGGTCTCTCTCTGCACCTGCCCATGGCTAACCCTGGTATACAGAGCACACAACCCTCAATGCCCACTGCCACTTCCACTGGGCAGTGTGCCCTCCATCAGCCTAGCCGGGTTGTTCTGACCATCCACGTGACACTGGCTCTAGGCAATGTGGCTGGAGAGAAGAGGCCTTTTGGCACATAACAACTTTAGTCCTGACTTGGACTGGCTACAGGAGGCTTTGTTCATTTGCTCATCATTCATTCATTCTTTCAATGACTTTCTGCAGACCCACCAATACAGACGCCTCTAGGCCCTGGAGATAAAGCAGTGAAAATAACACATTGTGTTATTACGTGTAGTATGAGCATGCACGGGTGGGGGATGGAGGTGTGAACCTCTAAGTAAAACAGCATCTGGTATTACTGACTGTGAGGAGGGGAAGGGAAACGGGGTGATG